GGTGGGGATGAGCTTGCGAAGCTCTGCAAAGGCTCCGTTGACGTTCTGCTGCCTCCACCTCTCCCTGCTGTTGGTGAAAATGCGACGGACCACTTTTGTATGAGGACCTGAAATTGTAACCATGTAGAGTTAGGAGAGGGGAGTTAACAGGTCATTTATTACTTTGCTGAACCCATCAGTGTTTGCCAATTAACAGACTTCTTTTTGTGATATCAGCAAGGCAGCGAAACAGGACTTCCCAGCTAAATGGAAGCTCAACTGAGCTGAAGTAGCCATATCAATCCAGTTGAAGAGAAAAATGGAGCTGCAACTTTTTAGATGTCTCCTGAAATGCCCGTATTTACCTCTCCATGGAGGAAGGCTCAGGCCATGACACATATGCAGAAGGCTGCTATCTTTTTCAAGGTATCTCAGGTCATCAACAAGGGCATCTCAGCAGCTAAGGTCCTATCAAAAGGTTAGGTTGCAAGATGGCTTTATTTTCTACCCCAAAAGTGTCTCAAGGACACACCATCCCTGGCAACATTCAAGGTCAGGCTTGACAAGGCTCTGAGCAACCTGATATAGTTAAAAAGGTCCCTGTGCAGTGCAGAGGGGCTGGACTAGATAACCTTTAAAGGTCCCTTCCAACCCCACACATGCTATGATTCTACCGTTGGGACAGGAGGATATAAGCTTCAGCAGAGGCTTGGACAACTCTAAGATCTGGAGATCTTCCCTGATATAGACAGGACCCAGAGCTGATGAAGAGTACAGGACTGTGGCCAGCCCCCTGGGTGGTTTGTATGAAATAGGGTGGCAGGATCTGCCCCATAGCAGGGAGGGCAGGTAGCAATGTGACCCACAGAGCAGAAGCAGCAACCTTGCTGGAAGGGTGATCACAGCTGGAGGAGAAGTAGCATCACACCTGCCCTAAGGACCACCTGCTCTCTCTGCACATCAGTGCTGCAGGGCTAAGACTCCCTGTCTGACACTACTTGGAAAAGCAACTCTGAATTGCTAGAGGTGTCCATTTGGCTCAGTTACTCATGTTAAATCCCTGTAATTTTACAGCCCTATTCCTGACAGGGCATGTTACACAGGAGGGACACACAAAACACATCACTTCTCCTTTCTGATCATTGGAGTAACTCCTGTTGGCACAAAGGAGACATTATTTTGGCACTAGGAAAGATCCAAAAGCATGTCTATCCAAAAGTACCATGCTTACAGAAGTAGCAACGCTATAAATCAGGACTGCAGGTCCTTGGATCCCACTCATGTAAGGAGACATTGCCATAACATGCTTTTATCATTACACCCTTTCCACTCTCACCCCCAGGAGACACCAACGCTGGAAGGACACAGCTATCTCATGAAATTATGGAGAATGACCACAGCAAAAACCCCAGAGGATGGGAAGCATCACATCCAATGAAAACCATCACAAAGTATGAAGCAAAGACTTGCAGGTACCACACTGGTGTGTCATACCCTGAAGGACAGGCTTGGGATACTCCCATCTGCACCATCTCTCCCTTGCAACTCCCACTCTGAGACACTCACTTACCTCCCTTGTGGGGAGCAAGTCCCTGGCCATGCTGAGTAGTTTAAGCCAAATCTCTGCCATCACCCACTGAAACCAGCTTCTCAGGGAGCATTTAAACATCATTATTCTATAGCAAAACTCTTGACTGCTTGAACTGTGGCATAGAGGCCCAACAGATGTGATTTCCCAAAGCATCCTAAACAGGCTTCACCTTGACAGATCCCACATGACACAAGATGAAAAGAGGAATCCCTCATGGCAGATTATTAAACACCATCATATCATATTTCCCCCCTCTGGGGCAAAGTGAGCCCCTTTGATCCAGCACATCACACACAGTGCCCTCACACCACAGGGCTTGCATGGGAACACACTCCCAAGGGGCCAGGTTAAAGCTACCAGCTTCTCCAGTGTGTGATCAACCATGCAGCTCACTGCTCCTCACAGTGTGCTCAGGAGGAGCAAGGTGTGCCCCAAAATCACAAAAAGCCTCTGGGATAAGCTGGGGGAAATGTCAGAATGAGAAACTCATCTCCAGCCTCTGAGATCCCAGTCTGATGCTTTAATAATAAAGGGAATTTTTCGTTCCCAAGCAGCAGGTAAATGCCCTTTATATGAATTAATGTGGAGGAGCTCACGGGAAGGGAAGGTTTCTTGTCCCTGATGCACCATGGGGTCATGGAGAGGTGGGGAGGGACTAAGGGGACCTCAACAACACTTGCCTGCCCTGGCAGTGTAGAATGTGTTGCAACCTGTGACAACAATACAACAGCTTCGATGCTTAAACTCCCTTTCCAGACAAGACAAAGCAACAGCCGTGGAGATGCAGCTTAAAACCTTTTTAGTCCCATAAGGGGATGAGGTAAAAAAACCAACCTAACTTCAATACTGTTTATTTTAAAAACAAAATCTCTAGAGACTTCCAGTCTTCACGGGCTTCAAACACACATCTCTGTTCACTGAAAGGTGCTGACTAAACAACATCTATTCACAAAATTTTTAAAGCAGAAAAATCAGATTTTCATCTTCATCCAGGGACACACAAACCAAGCCCCACTATATTAAACAAATTCTGTCACCACCCAGATTTTTCATTCCTCCATCAACCAAATCAAGCGTATCTTTTAGAAAGAGATCAGGTTTTGGCCAAAACATGTCAAGCAGAGGATAAATTTTAAATGTCCCATAGCTGCATTATGATAGAAGAGATTTATTTCCCATAAAAAAACTTGCCTCATAATTCAAGAAACTGGCTGAGAATTTTTGCCAGGATTTTATTCCAAGTGATTGACTGATGCTTTTTCCTTGCAGTTATAAAGGAAAAGTACTAAAAGGATGAGCTTCTAAATTACACAGTGTCCTTGCAGATATTTTTTTATTTTTTTCATTTTAATCTCCCTTTGTACCTATTTTGTAAGAAGATACTCAGTGCATCAAACTTTTCCCCAAGTAGATAAAGAAATAGTTGCAAAAAACCATCACTTGCTTCCTTACAGAGGAAACCAGACACAAAGTGCCTGGCAAGACCCTCCTGCACCTCTCAAGGGCTGAGGACAAGCAAAGCCCAGCAGACAGCACAGATGCCCCAGCATGGGTTGCATGTTCCTGCAAATGGCTTCTGTTGAGTAGCATCATCTGGTGCTTGTTTTTCCCAAAAAAAATTGTGAGCCCAGTCTCAGGAATTCACATGAGCCAGAACCTGCAGGATCGGGCCCGATTTCTGTAACTGCATTAAAGCACATATCCAAAAACTTGGTTACCACCAAATATCTCTGTAATCCTTGAAGTCTAATTGAATAGCAAGTTGAAAGCTTTAGTCAGGCACCGTGATTTGACGGACTTCCACTGTAACTACTGAGCCCCTGAATTGAAATCCAGACAAAAAAAAAACCTTGTGTGGGGTTGGGGCTGAGACAGCTCCTGCCCCTGGGCAGACCAGGCAGATGGAGAGGGCAAAGAGAGGGACTGATGAACGCTGATAATGCCTTGAGCCCATCACTTCGGACCCTATTATTTTACAGTGATGTGGATTATGGTTTGATCTGATTTGAGCTTAACAGGGTAGAAGGAAAAGGGACATGTAGCTAGAAAGAAGGAAAATTGACCAGCAATTGAAATGCAGCATATGCAACTGCTGCTAAAGAGGAAACTCATTTTAACGGATCTTGTTTGTGTAAGTTGTTAATTCTGCAGATAAAGGTGTCAGCCTTCCACGTGTCAATTGTTCTCTCAAATCCCCTTCGTGTGCCCCCCGCGCAGCCCCTCACAGCTCACGGGAGCGGGCAGGGGGATCCTGTCCTGCCTTCCTTTCTTTGAAATTATCCCGCCAGCCCCACAGGGGATCCCCACACTGAGATCTCTGCTCGGACACCAGGCTGTCACCCTCTACATCTGCTCCCAGGCTCTGGCACAAGGCTGGACATGGGATGTTTCTCCAGGCAGACTGCAGCAAGGGGTGGAGATGCACTGAAATCAAGTTGCCAAGGTGGCAAAAGCACCAGCCGCCATCCCGCTGGGATGCTGCAGACCTTAGCAAACCTCAGCACGGGTTCAGCCCTTTGCTTCTAGGCAGTTCAAAGGCAGGTGGGATCTTTCTGCCCTAGGCTGTGGTCTGCATAAGGAACGTCTCCTGACTGAAGGTGTTTGCAAACACAACATGTCACCGCAATGGCCCTGATCCAACCCTCTGCACTTCAACGAAGACTTAAATTTAGTGGCTTACTTTGTATTTAACCTCTAAGCAGTTTGCAGAACAGGGATGTAATTAACCATAGGCCGAACTGCTTCGCTGTGTGAACACGGATTCACCGAATACACCGAATTCACACAAGCTGTTGGTCATCAGCCGGGACACGTCCGGGCTCAGCTCCCGGGGCTCCTCGGCCACCACAGCAATCCTATTCGCCCTGTACGATTTGAGGGTTTAATCCCAGCATGTGGCACCGCGCAGCAACTCTCCCCCTTCAGCAGGTGGGGAACCTGCCGCCCCCCCCCCAAAAAAGAGAGAACCAGCGCAGAGGCAAAACGCTCTCACCGTCGGTGATCTCCATCTCGTAAGGAGAGGGTCTCCTCTTCACCCGGTTGCTGCCGTACATGGAGAAAGAGTCCGGTTCGCCGAAAAACCCGCTGTAAGGCAGAGGCAGAGAGGTCGTGAGGACACACCGGCATCCCCACGGCACGACACGGCACAGCCCCCGCGGCGGGGGGCGGGGGCAGGGCCCGGGGGCG